CTCTCTCTCTCTCTCTCTCTCTCTCTCTCTCTCTCTCTCTCTCTCTCTCCAGTACTCCTTTCACTAAGATGGAATTGGTTCTAGTCTCTAAATATTAGAATGTTTGTTGCACCTATTCCTCTAGATTTCTTTTGCTTCAGGTGCTTGACAACTGTGAAAGAGACATGTGTTTCAAGTGCCAAACCAACTTTCCTTTTGCAAAGGAAAAGCTCCCCTCCAACACACACTTAAGGAGTCACTAAGATATTGGTGGAACCACAAGTATCCTTCAAATAGTCTGTGCTTGTACCCTTAAGCCATTCTATCCACAATGACTTTATATGGCTTTAAAAATACCTTCAGGTTATTTATTTATATCCCTCCTTTTTATTACTTTTTAAAATAAACCGATCTAATTAATATTTCCTCCTCTTATTTTCAAAACAACAACCCTGTGAGGTGAGTTGGGTGAGAGAGTAGCTATAAATGATAATTGCTTCTTCCCTAAGCTTTTTTTGGTAGAAACAAATTAGGCATCATTGCAAAGAGTGATAGAAGAGAATGGACTATATTATTTAATCAATATAACACTGTTTAAATGTATCCATTTGGCTTTTATTGATTTTGTTCTTGCCTCAGCCGGCTAGCATCCCATATTCTCTTGGGCATCCTCGGTCTTTCCTGAGCTTTACTGCATCTTCTCCCTTCAGGACCTTTTCTTTTCTGTTGTTCAACCCTTGGAATTCACTAAACAGATTGTGCCACTTTGATTATACAGACACCTTAGGAACAGTTTTGTACACAATGTGAACAACAAATACATGTACCTACAGAGTGCTCACACTGTTCCTACTGGAAGACCTCATTCCATTGTTTCTTCTGGCCATTATTTGATCACCTTTCCATTGTTTCACCTGGCCATTTTCTATGTATTCATAACAGAACTCTTATTCACTTTGTAGAAGAGTGCATGCAAAAAAAAAGAAAAAGAAAACAGATAGGATTTCTGAAGAAGGGGAACTTCCAGTAAGTACTGCTTACTGTGGAGGGAGAACAAAATGTATGCCTTTGATTCCCTCTTTCTGTTTGGAATAAAAAAGTTGACTTTGCTGTATGTTGTAAAAGTTCAGCTTTTATGGAAAATTATGGTATTGTTTGGAAAATGCAGGGACCTCTTGTTTAGAAAATGTATTTTTCCCACTTTTTCAAGGTCTTTACTGCAGATAGAAACAAAAATAAACTTCAACCTGGTTCAAGAAGCAGGTCTTTTTCTAAGGAGGATTAATGCTTATTTATCATATGGATTTGAGCCCTGACCTTATTGCATAGTAATAAATTTGAATTCAGGTCCTTGTTATAGTATTTGAATAGGATGGTGCAAAATTATGAAGAGATTTGCAAAAATATTCAGTGACAGCTAAATATGACTGAAGCTCATAGTTCAATTCTGTACACTTCTACTCAGGATCCATTCCCACTGCAAATATATTTCACTCCAAATCACATCATTTGGCTTAGGGGCACTTTGAGAAGACTCATTCCAGAATACCCAGACTCTCAGAGAATGGAAACTCTCCATTGTACAACCTGCTACCAGTATAATACTTCAAACAGAAACCTAGGTGGATAATCTATGCAGTAAGAACACTGTGCTCATAATTTCTGTTCGGTCTGTGATGTATTGCTTCAAAAGATAAAGGTAAAGTTTTCCTCCTGTCCAGTCATTTCCAACTCTATGGGGCAGTACTCATCTCCATTTCTTCACCGATGGAGCCAGTGTTGTCCAAAGACATTTCTGTGGGCATGTGACCCGCATAACTATATGCCAGGGTGCATGGAATGCTGTTACCTTCCCACCAAAATGGTACCTATTTATCTACTTGCATTTGCATGCTTTCAAGCTGACATTTTGTAGAGAAATAGCCAGGATCTATTTGGACAAAGGAGAACAGAATTAATAGCAGTAAGCTTAGAATAGGTAGCCCTGTCAATTGTCTCATGGCTTAGAAAAAAGATCATGCCAGGAAAATAATTCTTCCCTGGGCAGTGCGAATGTGAGCTCAATGAGCTAATGCCCACTTCCTACAGGTGCTTATAGCAGGAATGCTTTTGGATGGAAAAGGACAAAGTGGGGAGAATTAGAAGTCTATCTATTCCATGGAGCAATAATCTAGCAAAGTGGCTTCAAGAGAATGTCTTTGGCACTTCCCAGGTATCTTAGGCCATGACAAATGGTTGTCCAAACTCTTCTTAAAAACCTCCAGTGTTGGAGCAACCATAAAACTTCATTTCCTCCCAGGTGTCATATCCAAGACTTCCGCCTGTATCCCTTGGAATCTGATGAAGGAATTCTAGGATAACATATTCATGATGTCTTTGTTCAGTTGCCATTAGAGGATTGGCAAGGATTGACCACTTATTCTTCTGCTGATATTTGGCCTCAACTATGTCTACTCAGCTGTTTAATAAGGCCAAGGGACTCTCTTTTTTAGATTTTTATCATCCCCACTTTCATACACAACTCAAGGTGGTGAACATACAAATACTCCTTCCTCCCCCTGTTTTTCCTACAACAACAATAACAACAATCCTGTGAGGCGGGTTGGGCCAACAGAAAGTGACTGGCTCAAAATCACCCAGCTAGCTTTCATGCCTAAAGTGGGACTAGAACTCACCATTTTCTGGTTTCTAGGCCTGCACCTTAATCTGGCTTGTGTGTTTCAGTTTCTGTCATGGTCGTGGGCTGTGTTTTCAGCTGTGCTAAACTGTAGCAGTATGGCTTACACTTTTAGTTTAGCAAGTTATATAAACCCAATCCCTGTGATTTGTAAGCCAACATTGATACTTAGTAGTGGTTAGTGGTGGTGAGTCCAACCAATTGTGTCTTATCCAATACATCTAGAGCACGTAGAACATGTCAAATTTTTCAACTTTTAATTTCAAAATATTAGGGGTGCTCAAAAGTTGTGACATGCTTTGGGAATTGTGAAGTTATTTTGATTACTTCAATATAATGTAGATGTGCTCGGTAAGTAACTACATAAATATCATAACTTTTTAACATTTTCTTTGTTTCATTTGTTAACCCAATCATATCTGTA